GACCCTGAGCAACATGTGAATTGTAGGAGGTGGACTTACTCTTGCATTGTCATTGTCTCCCCCAGAACCAGGAGGGACCAGTCGCTGAGCTGGGAGGGCATGAGGGGGCCCCACTGCATGCTCCCTGGCAGACCTGGAAGTGGACCAGAAGTACTTCGAGTCCGCTTCTGGGTTTGCTGCCAAACATGCTGACAATCCATGGCCTGGTTGCAACAGGTGGTTTAGCAATGGAAAAAAATACCTTGAGAAGTAGAATCTTTGTTACTGTAAGCTTTAAAGTGCAAGGTAGACAGCTGTTGATTTGGGGTGAGTTATCCAGAGATAATCCCACTTTAAGCAAGGGATTTGAGGTCTCTTCCAGCACTGGTTTCCCATTAGTCCAGTGAAACTTCTGTTACCATCCTTCCCTAAATATTTTTCATCCAAACAGGCTACATTTTATCCATCCTCTCTCTTATTTATTTAGACTGTTACCAGTACATCATGAACATATACTGAAATTCCACTACCTTTACCTTTATTTCTAACTTTCCTGAACAAAATGTATATCTTAGAACAACACCCATGTTTCAGTCATAATTGTCTTTTCACTGTTTTTGTTACTCCTGTAATATCCAGTCTTATACTCTGCATCACTAGTTCAGATTTCTCTATTTTGTGATCAAACCCCTGACATGAACATTTAGATATACAAATTGTCCAGTTAACTTTTACTGATTAACCCAGTTATGTAGCTGGGCTGGGCACAGTTCTTTAGCTCTCTGTTGGTGCGTCTACATGTGCCCCTGATCGTGCAGTACCTGCTGGAACTGTACAGTCCCAGCAATGCACAGTTATTTTTAGATGCTATGTCACCGTAGCGACAATCTACAGCAACATAGCTTGTCTTTACCGTGACGTAGCATCAGCAACATGGTTTGTGCCCACCAATGCTATGCCACCATAGCTCATCACTACGGCAACCTAGCATCTCATGTAAATGCTCCCTGTATTGACAACATGACTGCTATTCTAAATGGCATTACTAGATAGTACTACAATAAAATAGTCATAATAAGATATATACTTGTACTGTATTTTCACTCCTAAGAACTGAAATTCTGGTACTTGCTCAGTCTTCACTTTGCTTGGTTATTGTTTCTTCTTCTTTCGCTTCCCTGTCTCTCTGTTCTCCTCTTTTCAGTCTATCTAAAACATGGAAGCTAAAATTTTAATCCTTTTTTGCACACCACTGATGTCACTCTTCCTTCCTTCTATCCCTTTACCTATGGTTTAATCTGATTTTGTCTCTAAATTGATTGTTTCAAACTCCTATACCTAGATTTCAGTACTCTCCATAGCTACATGCCAACCCACATCTCATATTTTCCCCCTCCTCTTGCACCCTTTGTTTTCATCTTCTCTTAAATACTACCTGGGACTAAACTGATTCAGAATGAAGTAATGTACAGTGTTTGTAGTTTTCATGTGACAGAAGACTTTTGTAAGAGTTTACAACATTTCTGAGATAAGACGCTGTGCACCAGGGGCCCTGTGCTGCCTGGCCTCAGATCAGAGGTTGGCTGTGTGCGTGTACCCAGGGACCATGGTAAGCTGTTTGTGGGGGAGCTGGGCCCAGGCGACTGCCAGCCAAGGCTCCCCAGCCCTGCTTGCTCCCCTGGGGCTAGTGGGTCACTGGGTGTTGGCTTCAGGGACTGGAAGGGCCCTCCCCCAGTGCAGGACTTAAACACGTGTCTGGGGCTGGCAGGGCTGGTGGCTCGACACAGGGCTCCCCATCAGCGATGGCATCCAGTTGCACCCAGTGTCCACAGCCTGCAGTATGCAGCAAGCCGGTGCCCGGCAAGGGCCCTCCCCCAGGGAGGAGCTGGCTGTGGAATGGCTGGCTGCTCCTTTCAGCCGGGCAGGCCCAAGGTCCCCTCCTCCAGTGATGCATCACTGGAGGCGTCAGGGCGAGGTGTGAGCAAGGGCAGGTCACCCCTGCTGGTGGAACTTGCAGGGGTACGGCCTGTTTCCTGGGGCACCAAAATACGGGTCAGCTCCCACATGAAGGGTATGGTCTTTTTGGGCATGACCAGACCGATGATTGAACTAAGTCATGGCCACTAGGTCTGTGTGAAGCTTTGGTTGCTGATTTGATTCAGCAGAGATTCAGCCCAATTCGGTGGCCAAATCTCCAAATCGAATCAGAAGACCCTTTAATCTCTCTGAATTGAATTGGAACCCTCCAAATCAATTTGGAGAGATTCGATGATTCAGACATAGACACAGCTTTAAATGTTTTTTCTGCATACCTCAAGGTACCAAGTGGCTCATGAATGCTGAGATGGTGTGGCACATGGAGCGTCCCACAGGAGCACGGGCGGGTTCCCAGTGCACTTGGCAGCAGACCTGGAAGTGGACCAGAAGCACTTCTGGTTCACTTCCGGGTCCACCAGGGATCACCCAGGGCACCCCCCCAGCTTAGTGACTGGTGCCTCCTGGGTCGGGGGGGGGCACCTGGGGTTCTCCCACGGCTGATCACTGAGCTGGGAGGGGCGCAGGGAGGGGGTACCCTTCATGCTTGGCAGTGGACCCGGAAGTGAACCACAAGTACTTCCACTCCACTTCTGGGTTCGCCAAGCACACGGGGAGCCCCCCCCCCCTCCTGTGGAATGCTCCATCCATCCCACCATCGCTTTCACAAGCTGTGCCTGGTACCTCAAGGTATGTAGAAAAAACGTTTAACGCTATGCCTATGGCCGAATTGCTAATTCTCCAAAGCAGCATTAAATCTTTGGATTTGGCCAAATTGAATCAAGACAGTCATCCAAATCAACGAATCAAATCACTGTCTCCGATTTGGTCTGAATCCGAATTGAATACGGTCCATTTTGCACACCTCTAATGGCCACCCACTGTGCCCGCAAAACCTTGGCCTTCATGTAGCACTGCCTTGCTATCCAGGAGTGGCCTTGTGCACATGCATCCCACTGGATATGGCCTCATAAACGTAGGTGTTCAAGTGCCGACCCCATTCAAACTGCCTCTAGACATCAGCCCTGCCCCAGAGTGCCCTGAGGTTGCGCACCTCCTCCCAGGTCCAGTTGGAGGCTGCTGGCTCTCTGGGCCCCCTCACAGTTGACCCTGTGATGCCAGCCTTGGAGGGCTGACAGCAGCACCCAGGACAGAGGCACAGGCAGGGACTTCAGAGGCACTTCACCACAGTGCCGGCAAAGAGACAGAACTGGGGGTGAGGAGCAGCAGGGAGCAGGCACTGGCCCTGCTACCATAGATAGCAGGGCCAGTATCCCTGGAGGGAATCTCAGGGCTGAGCAAGTGATGTAACAGGCTGCAGCCCTTTGCAACACTCACCTGTGGCCAAGGAGCAGCTCCAGATAGGGGACAAGACAGGCAGAGGCTGCCTGGGTCCTATCCAGGGGGGAACATGAGGCCTGGTGGGCTGCTGCAGATCGCACCTCCACAGGGCCTGGTAGGCTCCTGCAGACAAGGCACACAATGGCTGAAGGCTTTTAGCCTGCAGCTAGGGATTGCCACAGAGCACTCCAGCCACGGAGGAGGAGAGGCAGCCAGCCAGGAGCCCTGGAGATGGGCTTTAGTTGGCCCCCTAGTGGCTGGGCAGACCCAGCACTAAAGTCCCTCCGTTAATGTGCATTAACAAATCTATATGTGCATCAATGCACTTTAACTAATTTGATACTTGCTTTATGCAGGTGTAACCCAGGTGTACATAGGTATGTACTCCCTTCTCCAATTGAAGAGAAATGTCAACAGGGCTGGTGTGCTGTGGGGGGACAACTGATGGCTATATGCAGTTTCCCTCCTTTCCCTATAGATAGCCAAACCAGGACACTTTATAAACTTAACTATGTACAAATTTATTTACATTAAAAGTTAAATAGAAACATAAACAGAAATACATACATTTACATATACTATTAAACTTTAAACCTTATTCTATAGATAGATAGATAGATATCTATCTATACACCTATATAGCTATACAGCTATATATACACATCTATATAGCTATATCTATAGATATTTGTCAATCACCCCTAAAGATACAAATATGCTACTGCTAAATACCAGATAAGTAATAGGGGAGGGTCCTAGCAGGGCTTCAATTAACATCATATACTCCAAACTCTATTAACTACAAACTGACAATTATAAAATACACAAGACATATGCACAATAACAAACTATGGATAATGTCCATTCAGTCTTGTACCACCCAACACAGATTTCAGTAAAGGTCATACAATTTTAAACTCGATTAAAGTTCAAACTTATGTATAATAAAATACAGTTCACAAAATATAAGATGCTACCTCCAAAATATAAGGCACAAGAACCTTAATTATAAATTGACTGTTTAAAGAACACCACCACCTAGACTGTCCAGGAGTAGTGGCTGCACTTCAGTGACAGAAGGTAGGAGAGCGAGGGGAAGAATTTCCCAGTGCTCTTCCAGTTTCCCTCAGCCCAACAAAATGCATTCCCCAAAACAAAACCTTCAAACCCAGGGAGCCCTCTCTTTCTGGGCTTCCCCTCCAGTAGTCAGCTGCACCGACCCAGGTAACTTTCCCCTCCCCTGTGGGAATCCCCTTTCCCGGGAACTCACGACTCCAGGGAGCCAGGTAGAGGGTCCTCATCTCTCTCCCGGGAGTTGCCACCTGTCCTGCTGAGGCTCCAGCTGTCTTTGGCTCCCTCTGGACCCGCTGGCTAGAGGTGGCCCTGTGCATCATGGTACGCACTGAGGGCTTTACTCTTCTGCTCAGGGTTGGGGCCCCGAGCTGCCTTGCAGGGTTCCAAGGTCTCATTTTTGACCAGAGTCCCCCATGTAAGGCTTCAGCTTTAAAGGCCTGGCCTCATGCTGGGGGCGGAGGGGAGGGTTGTAGACCCCAGCCACCCCATGCTGCTCCTGGGGCCTGGGTCTGCTCCTGGACCCTCCATGCAACACTAGCTGCACCGAGTCTTCCTGGCCTCATGCCAGGGGTTGGAGACCCAAGCCACATCATACAGCTCCAGGGCCTCAGTCCCACTTGGACCGCACCGTGCACCGTCTGTGCACCAAGATCCTGGCCACTTACCAGGGGTTGGGGACCCGAGCTGCATCGTGCAGCTCCCAGGGTTCTGGTCCCTCTTGGACCCACTGTGCACTGCCACCTGCACTGAGCCCCTGGCCTCATGCCAGGGGTTGTGGACCCGAGCTGCCTCATGTGGCTCCCCGGGTCTTCACTCTGTGCACTGCTTGTACTCTGCGCCTCTGGCCACATACCAGGGGTGCAGACCCAAGCTGCCTCATACAGCTCCCAGGGTCTGACTCCGTGTACCAAACTGTACACCACTGTCGCTTCTCAGCAGTGCGACCGTAGGCCGCATCACTTGCCACTCCCATCCGGTGAGGAGGTCTTCAGGTTCTTCAAGGCTACTGCTCCGCCCTGCTGGGCAGCATTTCCTAGCTCCTTTTAGTCCTGCTCTCTTCTACGTCCCTCGAAGCAGTGTCCTTGTGCCAGACACGCTGTTCTTTTATACCCTCCAGAGGCTCCATCCCCTGATTGCAAGAGGACCAATTAGGGTGAGGGGAAGTATAGCCCTCACCCAGGTCCAGGCTCTTTGCCTTGCCCTGAGCAGGGGTGGGGCAGTCTGTCCCCCCCCACCACCTGATTGGTGGGAATGTCCCACCAATGGCTTGAAGCCCTTTCAAGCCAGCAAGCCAGGCTCCTACCAGCATGCCTGCCACACAGGTATCAAATTTAGGCATGAATAGCTTAAAATTGCCAATTTTAAGGCACTTTAAGGGCATGCATGTGCATCTTAAATTGAGCTAATGCACATGAAATGTACATGTGTATAGAGGTAACTTCAAATATGTTTCTTTTTCTTAAGTCTAGACTGTGTTTTCTCTTGACTTCCCCATTGCCTACCATACAGAAGAACTTGAAGAAAAGCCAGCTGGATAAGATTGAGCACAGAGATGGAAAGATGCAACAAGGTGTGCAAGGGGGAAAAAACAAATAAACAACCCCCCCACACACACACACAGAACAGCAGGAGTTGATTGAAGGGTTTGACCATTTGTTAATCAGGTTCAAAACATGGTGTTTTTGTTGTACAAGTGCCAACTGTCAACAACATTTGGAGTGGCAAAAGAAAAACCTTTAAAAATATTGAAATGTTTAACTTATTTCCATTCTGCAGGGCTTGAGAAAGACCTGTTTTTTCAAAATTCTTCATGAGCATTTTCATAGGAAAAATTATCAATTTTTTAATTAAAAATATCACAAATAGTTCTGAAAAGTTATCAGACAGTTCCTTTACTGAGAACGGTTTTGATAATTGTTTTGATAGTGTTTAAATAGTTAAAAAAAGAAAAATCACCTTTTTAAAAAATATTTTTTCTTTATCAAAAGAGAGCCATTTTGTAATCTTCAGATTGGCTTCAATCAACTCCTGCTGTCTTACTGAAGCTGTGCTAGAAAGCCATTTGGAAAAATCAATCTAGTGAGAATTTCCATTTGCTACATAATACTCCCCAAGGAGCACATTATTTTCTTTATGAGAAACCCATAAAGCTCTAACCTTCCAAATTTTGCCACTTCTTGATAATAAAATTTAAAAAAAACCCAACAAAATTATGACCTTGCTTTTGGGTCCAGAAAGCTAAGGTTCTTGTTCAGGTTTTTCACCACTTACTCTGATAATTGTGACTTTGTAACCTCCTTCTCAGTACCCTCCTCAAACCAATGCTACTGGACTCCAGTTCATAGAGAATGTATTTCTAAACTCAGCTTCATTGCTTATTGCTCTGACCAGCCCCTTTTTAAATCCCTCCATCAGCTCCCTCTTTACTGATGAATCCAGTTCAAACTCCTTGTCTTTATCAATCTTCAAAGACCCTCAAAACTCTGCCACTCCCTTTTTATCTTCTGCTGCCGCCTACTGTACCCTCAGCCCATAATCCTTTCCATTCCACTTCTTTAGAAAAACAGAATCCTCCCAAGGAACCTACTGAGCACCTAAATCATGCCTCTCTCCATCCTCTCAGGGTTTCATCCTGGTGCTAGGCCTTGATGGAAAAATATGAGCCCCTTCATTAGCCCAGGCCAGTAGGAGTAAGCTCAGGGACTTATGAACTCTGGGTGCTCTTCCTGTACTCTATCCTCCTTAGGCTACACTTGGTCTGCTTAATTTGGGGTTCTGACCCCTGCCACCTCAGTCTTGCCCTGGAGCTCAAATCCCTGCCAACTACCAGTCACTCTCTAGGGCTCTGACCAGATCCCTCTGACCCCAATTGCCTTAAGGGCTGAAATGATGGCTTTTGTTCTCCTCTATCACCACACCCATGTGTTGCAGGTGTTACTCTGCTGACATCTGCCTTGCTGTGTAGGCCCTCAGCTGTCTTGACTTTAGCCCACTATTATTCTAGCTATGTGGCTTCAAGCCATGGCCCACTTGTTCTGGTCCAACTCAGCCTCAGCATCTTGTTCTCCAGATCACCAACCCAGGTTAGGTTACACTCTGTTTGTCCCAGCTCCCTGGCATCCTCCAACCCAGGCAAGGCTGCCTGCTTTCTATGCACCAGCTCCCTGGGGTCCCTGACCCTTCCTGGGCTTTTGCTGTGCGCCCTTCTGGCACTTCTGTGGCCACCTTACTACCCCTATCAGCCACACCCAGTCCTTCAGTTCTCTATGCCAGCTACAATAAACCCCCTTTGGGGGCCAGGGGCTTCTAATTAATGGGGTTCTCAGCCTGCCCTTAGCTGTTTTAACAAGCCCTGAGCTGAACCTATTGCTCTCTCCCCTGCTGCACTTTAACCCCGTGTGGTTTTCTTTGGCTGTCTGTGATTTGGCAGCTGGCCCTTGCCTGGCCACCTATCTAATTGCAGCCCTGCAATGCTGGTTTCCTACACACTGGGCAAGTCAACATGTGTGCTTTAATGTGCAATAGACTATTTTACTGACCATTAAGGCATCATGTAAAAAACTGTGACATTGCACTGTCTACTGCACATTAGCATCACTAAAAATGCATGCAAATGTACTACTGTGCATTAGCACACCCTAAGTCACATTAAGTTAGTACCTCACATGGAGGTACTAAATTTAATGCACACTAGAAAAGGTGCATTAAGGCACGTGTAGATGTGCCCACTAAATAGCAGGGGTTAGGGGTCCCTCCTACATACCCTTCCTTCATTTAGTACATAAGATGGATGGTACTCACTGACTCAACAGCTGTCCAATACTTTATTTTCATTGTCAAGTATGTAACTCGTGTTATTTAGTACACCCTACTGTGCTCTGTTCCTAGCACCTAATAATTAACTTCCTCATGAACTCCCTATGGTGTTTCTCACCAAAGCGTATGCTTTCACAACATTAGTAAATCTATCTTTACAGCACCCTACTGAGGTATGGTTATATTATTATTCCTATTTTACAGATGGGTAACTGAGGTACACAGACATATATGTCAGAAAAACACACTGATTTTAAGTGCCTAATATGAGAAGTCTGTGCCTTAATTTTTCAGATAACCTAAGCATTTTATAATACTTTATTCATTTAGACTACAACTATCATTATTTTATTTGTACTTGAGAGCTAGCATGGGGGGGCCGGTGTCTCAAGTTGGGCACCCAGGCTAAGTACAGGCATTCAAGAAGCCCATGGTGGAAGCACTCTAACTTTTGAGCTTAAGAGACCCCATTTAGGTCCGGAGGAAACAGAACATGTTAGCCCTTGTGTTGACGGGGTGAGCTCAGAGCCTGCTGGCACAGCCCAAGCACAGCAGGAGTGGGAGCTTGCATGCCTCCCAACGTACCCTGTAAACTCCCCAGGCTGCCAGCTTCCCAAGCTAAGCCAGATAGCTAAGCCACCCCTGACTGGCTGGTGGCCACCCATCTGGATTTGATGTAGCCATGGCTCACCATGGCCATGAGCCATCAGCTGGCCATCCTACACATGGCTCAGCATGCCCGGCACCTGCCAAGTGTGTGTTGGATGCCTGGGTGCTGTGTGTGTGTGTGTGTGTGTGTGTGTGTGCGCACGCGCACATGCGCACACATGCCACAGACATCTGGGTTCTCTGTGTGTGTGTGTGTGTGTGTGCGCACGCGCACATGCGCACACATGCCACAGACATCTGGGTTCTCTGTGTGTGTGTGTGTGTGTGTGCGCACGCGCACATGCGCACACATGCCACAGACATCTGGGTTCTCTGTGTGTGTGTGTGTGTGTGTGCGCACGCGCACATGCGCACACATGCCACAGACATCTGGGTTCTCTGTGTGTGTGTGTGTGTGTGTGTGTGCATGTGTTAGTGCACATGTATGCACAGTATGTGTTCCAGATGCCTGGGTTTTGTGTGTATATGTGTGTGGGGATATTCAGGATGCCTGGCTTCTGCATGTGGGATTGAGTGCATGTGTGTGCCCCCCCCGCACAAACAAAACTCAGGTCCCCTAGACACTCACACACACACATGCAGGCGCACTCACACATAGAACCCAGGTGCTTGGGATACAACTGGGCCACTGACTTTCACACAGCCAATGAGGACAATGCCCACCTCTTGTGTAACTCCCCGTTACCTGGGGAGATGGAGAGTGTATGCTATGTTTCCAGAGTCCCCAGTTTCATCAGTAGCAATGTCATCATCACCCTCCAATCCTCATCAGGGCCCAGGCCTACCCCTTCCTGTTCTGGCTCATGAGGCCCTCTGGGGCACAGGTGGACTGCTGGAAGGAGAACTTCAGCTATGGACCAGACTTGACACTACCAGCACATGTGGAGCAGGGATGAGGAATAGGGTGAGCCCCGCATTGACAAGTGTGGCTCTGGCCCTGCAGAGTGGCAGGCTGTCCAGATCTGTGAAGCCCTGGCCAACTGCCTCCTTATCTGTGTAGACTGGGAGCCCTTGCCAAATGAGTAAGACCAGAGAGCTTGGATTGCCCATGCCCTGGCACTGGGCCATGGGTCTCTTGCCATGGGTGCCTCTAGCCCTGTGTCACTGGCCCTGCTGCCCACAATCCAGGCTGTCCAGGCACTGTCCCCCTTCTTCAGTCCCTCCCCAACCTCCCCCAGGGGCACACACTGGGGGCACACACAGGGGAACATGGCATAAAGAAGAGACATGCTTCAGTTTAAAATGTTGTGGTTGCCAAACGTTTCCTGTGTTTAATAAAAAAAAACCCTCCTGAACATAGTTTGTGTCTCCACTTAGTCCTTCCTCCCAATAAACACAAAACAGCAAACCTTTGGTGCTGGCAGGGAAGGGGGCAAGGGTGGAGTAGGGGGTGACATAACCTGGAAGGCGGTTTGGAGTCAAGGGGAATGCTGCTGGGCCTGAATTCAACAAAAATGAAACCTTTTGGAGGGGAGGCATGGCATATGGGGCTTTTGACCTGGCACTAAACTTTCAGGAATCTGGAGTCAAGATCAGGGATTTCTCCATGTAGGAGCTAGACAGCTGCATGATCCTTGACCCAATGTCCATCTGAGAGGAACTGCACACCAAAAAGCATTGCTGCAGTGGGCACAAAAGACTGCTGGCCCTCCCACATGGCCCCCAAGGCTGTCTTTCAAGGACCAAAAACCCACAGCCCTCGCTGACGCCTGGGGGTCATGTCAGGCAGCTGGCCTCAGTTGGAGAGCTACCTATTCATAAAATCATAGGAAATTAGGGTTGGAAGGGACCTCAGGGGGTTGGGCCTAAATGACCTCCTGCTCAAAGCAGGAACAGCTCCAACTAGATCATCCCAGCCAAGGCTTTGTCTAGCCAGGTCTTGAAAACCTCCAGCAACGGAGATCACACCACCACTCTGGGTTACTCTGGGTAACCTGTTCCAGTGTTTTTCTACTGTCCTAGTGAGAAAATTCTTACTAATATCTAACCTAAACTTCCCTTGCTGCAACTTGAGACCATTGCTCCTTGTTTTGTCATCTGCCACCACTAAGAACAATCTAGCTCCATCCTCTTCTGAAACCCTCTTCAGGTACTTGAAGGCTGCTATTAAATCATAGTTTCATAGATGTAGAGTCGGAAGGAACCTAAGTAGATCACTAAGTCTGACCCCCTGCCCT